AAGCCGTGGCTGTAATCACATATAAATATTGTTATGCTTTGGTTGTTGAGCAAGCCATGTGGTGCTCTAGCTAGCTTGGGGGAGGGGGGGCGTTGGCGAGCGTTTTTTATTTTATTATTTTTTTTATTAAGGGACGGCATTTGTCATATTAATGGGTGCACTTGTTCATTTGCCCAAATGCTTCGTTTTCCACGATTATGGGACTGTTTTCTCTGACAGACGAGGTGGAGTTCAGTTTCCGGGTCGCAGAGACACAAGTCGAGGTCGCGAAAAGAGTCAGCAGCTACACAGCCCTGTCCTTGCAGAGGTAACGTTCTAATGTTGGCTTTAACTGTCGAGCATGTATTTTGGTACCTACACAATTTCCGCGCAGCATTGCCTAAATGCTGTTCCACGCAACATGCGGACTCTGTTCGGGTGCGGGCATAAGACCGGGTCTGCAGTGATGGGGCAGTCAAGCCCCGCAGCACCACACGAAGGTTTGAACGTAACTGTTTGGTTCTTTGGGCATAGTCACGGATATGGGGAAAGTAGTATTTATTTTCATATTTTGCTTCACATTTTCATTCATGGGCGGGGCGCAGTGACGCATCTTTAAGTTCTGCATAACGCACCTGTGACTGTAACATGCAATTAACAGACAAACCAAGCCATCGTCAGGAGCACACAGCCTGTTGGTATGTACAAAGCTCATAAAACACCCAGCGCAGTAACGTAGCGATGTACCTCATCCGCATTGTTTAGGCCAGATTCTAGCCATGCTTAAAATAAGTGTTGTTTTATCTCTAATAGTAATTTGAGAGACTTTAGTCAAGGAAATAAGATATTATTGACACAATAAAAGCTAACCCCAAACCTTAAAAAAGACTACATTTAAGATCTTAAAATAAGTGTTAATCTCTAATAGTAATTTGAGAGACTTTAGTCAGGAAACACAATAAAGGAGGGGTCAATATTTTTTCAATCCTATCCTATACTGAAAACGTATGAGCATTCATTGTCATATTGTCTAGTCTTGGACACTAAAAAAGTATCTTACTGGTAATATAAAAATGTGTGTGAGTTTAAGATGAAAAGACAAGAATCAAAATTCATTGTGCAGGTTTATTTGTCTGCAAATTAACTAAAGACATTGAAGATGTTATACCACTGAAGTCAACAGCTTTGAATTTGGGCTGGATAATATTGTATAAAAGAAACGCAAATGTACACACATGAAAAATACAACCATATTGTAATTAACAACAATAGATCCAAACTATAGTCTAGACTGAATCACAGGCTGATTTTGCTGAACAATAACATCACATAGACTATATTTTAGGTGCACAAACTCGCTCGCTCTAAAACTAACAGAAAAATAAGACGTATAATCTAAGAGGTCACTCACAAATTCTGTCGCCTGGGCCAGAGCAGGAACTGAAACCTTGTACGCTAACAGAGACATACGCCTTGCTCCACCTCGCTTGACCCAGACAATCTTTTTGGAAACAACTACTTCCTCTGGACTCACTGGATTAAAGTTTTTCCTGTAGGTCTTGTTTTGTCCAGTTGCGCTGGTTGAAAATGGATCCACAAAAGTGTCAAATATGGACATTGCTTCATTTTGAAGCTGAGGGCTCCTCTCAGAGTGCCCATCAAAAACTCCCCTCATTCTCTCCCGGAGCACATTGATGAGAACAGCCTGATATTGCTGCACCCCTGAGATGATGTTGTTCACAGTTCTCTGAAAAAAGAAAGTTTTCATTTTAAAAAGCTGAACCAATTAATAAAGAACAAACAAGGTTGATATACCCAAGGTTGATATACCCAAACTTAAATGTATCCCACTTAAAAGTAGCAATATGTAAGATTTTCATGTCAAGTCATCATTAAAAGGGCCCTAATATGTCAAAACACATTAATAAACCTGCTCTTTTCCAATACTTTAACAGTAGTAGTTATCAGTTCAGAGATTGTTATTGTTTTCATTTTCATGTCCCGCCCTCCACCGTTTCACCAATCAGAAAGGCTGTGATCCGAGTTGCCAGAACTCACAGCATCGAGCTAATCTCACTGGTTAAGTAACATGTGGCCGCAGAACTAAAGAAGGTGTTGTTAGGATTCTCAATTCGTTAATGACAAAACAAGGAATAATATAAGGATTTATATATCGGGTCCTTTATGAAAATGGTGTTTGTATAGATTTTTTGTTTACCAAACACTTGTCTATTCAGCTGTTATGGTCCCAGCTAGATTCGTCTGCATATCTGGTAACTTGAGTCAGGGAGAGTGGGAGAGGATGCAGTACCACTTGTGGCCACATTTTTACATACTGCTCCTTAAAAACCATATCAAATTAAAATCTATAGATAATATATACAAATTATTGTATAATTGTTTGAAATATTGAATTCAAGTAACTATTCAAATGTAATATAGTATTTGATAATGACTATGGTTGAAAAAGTATTTAAAAAATCTCACATTCATCAACTTACTTGTGACAAATGGCACTCTTCACGGACACTGAGACCAAGAGCAGCAGCACATCTAGTGAGATCATTGCTGGTATAGTTGGTAGTGGAAGTTGATGGTCTCGCATCTTCATCCTTCATAGAAAACATGATTAATAGTGGGAAGTAACAGGGAAGTAAGCATTAAAAACAATTGCTAAAAGTACTAATATACATGTAATATTAAGCATAGCCTAGGATATATCTAAATGTTATACTTTAAAACGTGTATGACAAAAAAAATTCAGGTACTTTTTAATAGATTTGATACATTTTGTCTTCGTTTATGCCTGTTATACATTCAATCTACGTGTGTTACTTGGTGCTTATGTGGTCATGGTCAAACCATGGGTCAGACACAACACATTCATAAAGTTAGCATTGAGACTTACATTAATGACCACTTCGGCCTCAAACGTTTCATTCCGCGTCAAAACCAGTGGCGTAGCATTAGTCGTAGCTGGAGCGGTGGTTGTTGAAGAATCTGCAAAAATTGATACTCCAAACTTTTCCACTCCCACTCTCCCAGCGAGCGCGATGTTCGAGTCGTTCTCCACGTAGTTGGCGGGACTCCGTGTTTCATAAACACAGGGTGTGTTCGTTTGATGTGGCGAAAAAATTAGTTGAAAACTCTGAAGTCCTGGTCACATCCATTAATTCCGCAATGAACCCAAAACTCTTGACTACGTCCATGTGCTGTATTGATGTGGCTAAGAAGCGTCTTCAGTGACAATGCTGCAAAAATAAGACAGATCATACACCTCCACAACGCCATGTCTGCGTGCGTTCGGGTCGTCTAGCTTCCAGTTTCCGGATTGATCCGGATATTCAGAAATTATATCTACTGACACCTAGGCTATAAGATTCAATGTAGAAAAGGAGCTAGGAGCTAGGAGGTAGACAGTACGTTACACTATATGGATCTGTCCTAATGATACGCGCATGCGCCGACCGCCAAATGTGTCTCCGTCATCGTCTTTGCGCTTTGCATACATCTCGAACCTGCGAGTGAATTCTTTTCCACGTTCGAAGTGACAAACCAAGGTCAGTATCCTACGCTGTCTTCTCTTTTCTAAATGAGGATAATTGTATCGTGTATAACACATAGACTGTATAACACCGGTACAATCGAACACATGCTGCGTTTAGTTAATTTTGAGTAGGCTAGCATGAACTAGCCTGCTAATGCCATGGCTAATGCTCGTTAATGCTGCGTCACGATGGCGTCCCGTGTATGGATCTATTATAATAACGGTCCGTGGTACAAGAAAGTTTACAGTCTATTGGTACAATACAGATCTTGTTAGGTCGTCCCTGAAGGAGAAAAATGTTTTTTTTCAATTTCATATAGACATTTTATGTTTATGGCTTTATCCTTTTTTAACAATAAAAGACTGCGGCACTATGCAAAGAGTTTGAGTTGCCACGTGCGCTGCTACTTTTAGCCTACTAGCTGTTAGCCTATTATAACTTTTATTCTTTTTCCCCAGAGCCTTTGTGTTGAGACTGTAATTGCTAAATATGGCACTGGAGGGACTGAACGAGGGTATCCGTTCAGTGTTGGAGGGTAAGTATTTAAGGATGTTATACTTTTTGTTTTTATAGCAGTGCTCCCACCCAGACTGGGTGTCTGGGAATAATTTAGTGTTATGTGCTTCAGTTGTTCAATTAAAAAATCATTAGTTTTAATTTAAGTTTAGATCAAATTCTACATTTTAGATGTAGTAGTAGTAGTAGTAGTATAGGCTGAGACTGGGGGTCCCGTGGTTAACAGAACCCCTGTCTAGAGAATGTGATGTCTACTGTCTTTGGTTATGAAATGCAGAGTGAAAAAGAAGAAAATGACCTTACTTGATTATGGCATAATTAATTCTTAAAATTACTAATGTCTTTTTTATACCTGTTCTGTTGCAGCTGCTAATATTGATGAAGCAATACTGACTACAATCAATCGTGAGGATCTTAAAGACTTATTTCCAGGTGCTGCGAATTTTCTACAAAGGAAACAACTATGGGATTTCATCTGCAAAATGGTATTTTAAAGCATTTGCTCAAAATAAAGTAATTGTAGTTTACTATTATGTTTTCATACTCTCACAGAAAGGAAATTCTGACCAGAATGCCAATACCACTGCATATGACTTAACACCATGCTAGTCTCAGAGCTCATCCCCCAGTTTGCCTCAGAGCTCATCTCCCAGCTCACCAACTACCAAAAGCATTAAACTGCCAGCTCCGCCTGAATACGTTGTATACACAGATTCAGAGTTGGATGTTGTGCGCTCCCAGTACTTTTCAATGCTCCGTGAAGGAAATGTGAGCGATTTTAAAATATCGAAGGAGCTCTGTTGCAGACTTGTTCGCAACACTATCACTAGCATGATCGCAATGCTACGTGCAAGTCCCTTGGGTAAAGAAACCAAATACCCTTCTAAACTGGAACTAAGACTAATGGCTCAGAAAATGGTGGATTACTTTCCAATGTTGCGTGATCCTGACCCACAAATGCCATACGTGAGTCTCCAGTAACCATTTATTTTCTATAAACAGACATTATTATTTTTGTTTTTGCAGTTGACTATCTACTGTAAAATGTTTAAGCGACTTCAAAATATGAGGTCTCCAAGGAAGAGGCAAGGTTCTGTTCCACAACGAGGGAAGGCAAAGAAGTCTTTATTTGACTCGGACAACACTGATGCAGATGGCACTACACATTCTTTTGACTCTGATTGTACCATACCTCTTGAGAGCCACGATGATCTCAGCGATGACAACCAAAGTGGTAAATACTTGTTTTAAAAAATTAGTAATGTTGCTATGTTGTTAATTATGTATTTGCACATTCTTCCAGCCAAGTGTTTCTCGCCAGAGAGATCCTCTACCCCTTGCTCCTCCAAACCGGTGGCTTCAAAACCAAGACCCAGAAATGATGGTATGGCCTTTGTTTTACCAAACTCTTTGATTGATTTTGATAAAACAAATGTTTAATTGTCAACACAATAATTAAATGTTGTTCTCATCCTTGGAATCTTGATTACTTCTGTAAAATTGCATTGTATGAACACAGATATGGACAAGTTTACTTTGCTTAATTTACTTGTCTGTTCTTAACTCATGACATTCCTTTTTTTATTTTGTATAGATAAACTGATTAAATCAAACATTTCAAGCGTAATGCCATCAACGTCTGGCTCATCATCCTCACTTGTGAAATCTAATGATAATGGTATGATTTTGTTTGTTTTTGTTGATAATCTTTGATTCACTTAACGGTTGAATCAAACTTATACCCAATTTAAAAACTTCAATAACTCATTCTATAAGGCAAGCTTTCGAAAAAGCATGTGTATTTGTACCACATATCGGCTCCCTTTGATTCTCAATACCCTCTGAATATTTTTTTTTTTTAATGACATTGTGTGGCAAACATATTTAGGAAGTAAATTAAATGTGCATCCTTAACCTTTTCTTGTTTTCAGCTGAAGTGGACAGTCTGAAAGTGCAGGCCAGGCACTATAAAACTTTAAGTGCAATGTATAAAAAAAAAAATTCAAACCCCAACCAGAGTGACGTTGCTCAAGTACTAAACCTAGAGTTCGAAGCACGTCGGGCGTTCATAGACTCAATTCAATTTGGAGAGACGAGAAACGAAAATGGTTTTGAGTATTTATTGAGGTGGTTTGGCGCCCTAGGCCCCGGTGCGGCCTTCAGATCGGAGAGGCTCCTGCGATGGAGCGCGTACAATCCCCCGGGACCTAGGCACTGGTGGCGGCATTTTGGCAGATTGGAGGCAGATTGGAGGCAGGGTGAAGAGGAGGAGGAGGGGAGGCGGTGGTTGCGAGGCTTCGAGAAGGCCGAGAGTGGGAGTTGCTCCGCTTTTAAGCGGCTGCCTGTCCGGCACGGATGATTGGAAGGGGGCGTTTGCTGAGCGATAGGCTGGGGGAGCGAACCGGCCTGGAGGGGGTAGCTTTTGGCTGACGTCTACCAAATTGAATTTTCGCGAGCTACATTTCAATTTGGAGAGACGAGAAACGAAAATGGTTTTGAGTATTTATTGAGGTGGTTTGGCGCCCTAGGCCCCGGTGCGGCCTTCAGATCGGAGAGGCTCCTGCGATGGAGCGCGTACAATCCCCAAAAAGGCTGTGTGTGTTGATGGAGTTTTGCAGCCTGGTTTGCAGGGGACAGACGTCGTGGCTGCTCTATGCTGTGACCGCTATCGCTATGCTGTGACCGCTATCGCTATGCTGTGACCGCTATCGCTATGCTGTGACCGCTATCGCTATGCTGTGAACCGTTTATGCGCTAACCATTTTTTGCTATGCTGTGACCGCTAACACTAACGCTATGACCGCTACCACTGACGCTATGACCGCTATCACTGACGCTATGACCGCTATCACTGACGCTATGACCGCTATCACTGACGCTATGACCGCTATCACTATGTGCTGTGACCGTTATATGCGGTTATCTTTGAGTGCCGGGACGTGAGCGCTCGCATCACGATCGACCAGACGCTGCGGCAGGGTGATCTTTGCGCGCTGGGAACGTGAGCGCTCGCATTACGTTCCGTCAGACGCTGCGGCAGCGGAGAGTGTTTGAGAGAAATGCGTGCCGCCACCAGAATCTTATTGGTTCACTTACTTTGTTTGAGATGAAGGTTGAAAGGGTCAGGGGACATAATGTTGGGTGAAAGAGAGCGACCTTTGTGTAAGCTTCCACTACGTCGAGATTATCACACATGACCCGAGATCCTCTTTCTCCGCCACGTGTGATTCCGCAGCGCGCAGGCCACGACCACTGGGAATATCTCGTGTAGGGCAGAGGAGATGCTCCGGTGGAAAGTAGCGGCCACGGCCCGGCAGCCCGATGGTCCTGGAAAAAAACCCCCCAAAACCCACGGAAGGGGCACGTCCGTGTAGAAGCGGAGACCTGGAGGGGCAGAGACATGTCGGAGAGGGCCATTGATGTTGCAGGCGCCCTTACGCTTAGAATCTTGGGTTGGAGAGTAGGTAATCAGGACAGTAGGAAGGTCGGAAAAAGCCGTGTCTCAGACCGCACGAAGGTTGAGTGTGCAGTAGTAAAACGCTTATGCAGAGAAGCCATGGAAGGCGAGCAGGAAGATGCTGCGAGGAGGGCAGACATGTACCTGGAAGATGAGCCGGAGTTCAGTGCCGCTGCAGGATGGGCAGCAGAAGAGTGAAGAATACAGGTATGGATGCCTTTGATTAGGAGTCCGATTGACGGCTCAGCGCAGCTACTCGGCCAGCTGCATCTGATAGAATCGGAAGATTAAGTAGAGAGATGAAGCATGACCGCCGAAGCGACCCTGGGAGCACAGGTGCGAGTCCAGCGCAGCGCGGCATACTCTGCCGGGCTGCCTCCATTAGAAGCAGGATAAGCTTCTGAGAGAGTGGGTTGCAGCAGTAGCAGTAGCAGCAGCAGCAGCGGCAGCGGCAGTAACCTCAGATAATAACGGCAACGACCTGTATCAGCCGCGGCAGCAGCAGCTGCAGCATCCGTAGATAATAACGGCAAAAACCCTGTATCAAAGCCACGGCGGTAGAATATGTTGTAGCTGTTTAGTGTTTCAGTAAGAGAAGCGAAGTGAAGAGAGATGACGAAGTACATGAAGCAGCAGCAGCACGGCAGTAGTAGCAGTATGAAGCAGCAGCGGCAGCAGTAGCAGCAGCAGCGGCAGCAGTAGCAGCAGCAGCGGCAGCAGTAGCAGCAGCAGCGGCAGCAGCAGCACCACGAAGCGATTCATACGAACAGACAGACGTGTCGCGCCAGTGTGCGCCGCTTGTCTCCATGAGCCAGGTTACATACGTGTCTGGAAGAGCCGAGCCACAGAGACAGGTGCAGCCTGGGAGCCTGCGGAACGGCAGCGGCACATGTAGTAGTAGGGGCAGCAGGAACAGGCAGCAGGGACAGACGGCAGCAGGAGCGGCAGCAGGAACAGGCAGCAGCAGGAGCGGCAGCAGGAGCGGCAGCAGGAGCGGCGGCAGGAACGGCGGCGGCGGGATCGGCATCAGTAGGAACGGCAGCGGGGACCGGCAGCAGCGGCGGTCAGAGAACCATGCCCACGGTTGTTTAACAGCCTGAGGAAATAAATCAACCCGAATCCGAAACATTCCCATGCGAATAACAGACGTCCCCTGGAGCCATCTTCTGCTTTGGTTATGGCAGATGCGCATGAACGATCACTGATCCATGCGTTCATAGCTCCAACACTACTTCCACCCATTGCAGATTCACGTTCGGCCCTTTTTCTTCCTGCTGCACTTTCAAAATGCAACACTGCAGTTAGTTACCTAATTTAATACCAGCGACCTAGCTATTTATGCATGGTTTTACTGCAAGTGGCAGAACATGATCTGAATTAATGCACATAGCTCCTCGTATATCCCTCAGACGATAGAGATTGATGCCATTTAATATGCATTGCCCCTCAGTTAGCTCAGACACGTGTGAAAACGGAGCCTGCAGACCAAGCTCGGGGCGAAAAAACTGGCGCCTGCAGTCAAGTGCGTAGGGCAAAAACCAGCCGCCTGCAGCCCAGAACTCCGGGATTAATCTGTCCGCGGTCAGCACGCTCACTGTACTCACATGCCAGGAGACTTGGGAAAAGCAACGGGACAACGCGGCACCGCCAATCGAGGCAGGGACACGCATGGCACCGCCAGACCTTCTGCGTGCGGCAGCAGACCACGAGGAACGAGCCGCACAGAAACCCGCGGAGGGCCTCGCGGAGCAGCCCGCAGAAAGAGCCCGCAGAGGAGGAGAGCAGTGGGGATATGCGAACCACAGCAGTGCAGGGACGTGGAAGAGGAGCAGACCAGTGCAGGGACGCGGAGGAGGAGAAGGCCACAAGCAGCCAGACGGAGGACGCCAGGGACGCGCCGAGTAGCGTGAGTAGACGAAAACGATTCCTCCAGACGATTCTCTGCAAGGCTTCAGGAGCTTGCGAGGCTTCGAGAAGGCCGAGAGTGGGAGTTGCTCCGCTTTTAAGCGGCTGCCTGTCCGGCACGGATGATTGGAAGGGGGCGTTTGCTGAGCGATAGGCTGGGGGAGCGAACCGGCCTGGAGGGGGTAGCTTTTGGCTGACGTCTACCAAATTGAATTTTCGCGAGCTACATATGTCACGCGTGAGGAAGAGAGGCCTGCAAAAATATTGCAAGCATACCCATGCTTTAAGGACCCAAAACATATAAGGCCAATTTCTTTGATAATTTGTAGATAAGGTGTTTCATTTGTGTTCATTTGTTTTAGGCTATAGATGAGCTGTGCAGGATTGTTGGGGGCACCAACACCAAATACCTCCTGGAAACCAAGGAAAGATGGTCAGATTTTTCTAAAAAAGTCCAATTCTTTGGAATTTGGAAAAAGGCCATGACGCCTCCATTGCCTTTGGATGTTCATGGAGGTATTTTCAGGTTTTAACTTATTTGAACCATAGACCTGTTGTGATGTTCAATTTCTTTCAGCGGATTTTATGATTGGTGTCTTGAGCGCACTCCCTTCACTTTTCCCTTCCCCAGCTGTACCCCCCAAAAAAATGGCAAACGCTAGTGAATCTCTGATTCACATACTCAAGGTAATTTTTCCAAAAACAATCTTCTTCTAGATGGAGGGAGATTCTCTTGTGCACTCTAGTTAATTGATTTTGCTTTCTTCTAGTCTGAGGAGGACCCGGCCTTCTACTTGACAAAGCGTCCGCTATTCACACCACTACTACTCTTCGATGGAACAACGTGCATAATTGCAGTGGGCAATGAACCAATTTGCACCCTTCCGAAAGAGGACATTTCTGAGGCAATGTTGGTGATAATGGCCTACTACTACACATTGCACCTTACATATCCAAAGTGTGTTGCAACAGTCCTCTCGGTGATCCAGACAGAGGTAATCCTTGATGCTATTCATGAGCAAGATGCCACCTCTGCTTATCGTAAAGCAATAGCTGAATGGAGAACCTTTTTTTTTTCTCAAAGTAGTTAAACTGCTGACAAAGGTGACACTTTAAGTGGTCACAATCCACCGCAAGATTTGCGTGCGCTGCCATCTTGCCTGATGCCATTTTTGCATGGCTGCTGCCATGTAGTAATGGCGATGCATGCAGTTGCAGTGGATTTTAGTCTTGTTTCACAATATTCTGAGATTTATTGTTCTTAACCCAAGTTTTTTTTTTTTGGATGACTATGTTAGAACTTTAGTGCCCAATATTTTTATTGTACATTTTATCAGTGTCATCTCTGGGTAATTGTTCAGAATGTTGGAAGTTGCTTTGATTGCAATAAATGTTAATTGCTTTACATTTTCTCTTTTTTTCATTATAGCAGTTATAGATCAGTCTTGTTTTGAAGAACTTGTTTTAAGATTAATGCTATTTATTTAAAGTAAAATCATCTTAGTTCAGGATATTAAAGTAACAATCTTAAGTTTCATTATCTATCTTTTTAGATAATGGTTTTAATTTTGAGATGAATGATCTTGATTCAAGATATTCTAGTACGTTTTTTTACTTATTTTGAGTAATATCAACTAAAGCTGGATAACTTATGTAAGGAGATTATTATTTTAGTACTTAAATTAAGCATATTTCACTCATAATGGAGTCTAAAATTTGGTGATTTTGTCTTGAAATAAGCCAAATACTATTAAATTTGATTAGCTTGTTTTAAGATATAATTATCTTAAAATAAGAAATCTTACCAAGTCAAATTATCTTGCTGCATGGACAGATAATTCCACTAGTTTCAAGTAGATTTATCTCAAAATATAGCACATTTATCTTAATTTTAGGTACTCATAATTTGCAGTGTGTGTAATGTTATGTGTATCAACTCAGACGTAAACTCAGATCCAATCGTTACAATCTGCAAAAGGAGTTAACCCCTCCCACCTGTTAACGGAGCTCAATGGAGCAAATCTAGACCTCAGAACAAAAAACAAATTAGTACGGCGGTGTGGTAAGACCAGGCTAGGTCAGAAGAGAGTCATTATCATTTGAACATTGAAAACGCATTTATTACCCAATGGCTTCACACAACCACTAACTCTGAGAAAAATAAGCATTATAAATGTAAAAGGAGAATGTAGCTGATATCTGGGATGATTTTTTTTACTCCAGATCCTGTCTAGGTTTGAACTTAAACTCTGCTTTCACAGCTGAAGCAAATGTCACTGAACTTGAGTTTTAAGGAGCTAACCCAGCACGCAGGTGAACACAGGCGCCCAGTCCTGCCAATGCACAACGTGACGAGTGGGGGTGGGTCCCGGCTCAGAAACGTCCATGAGCTCATGCGCTGACATACTTGCAATACCTCTCTGGACCGGTGGGGGTGTACCCAGAAAGAGAATTACCCAATGCTTTTGTATGGCGTCTCCTTTCCTCTCAAACGGTTATACAGGATGGTCCAAAAGTCGCTCTTGGCCCATGCTGAGGGGAGTATTTATTTTTGGCTGTGGACTTTAGAAGGCACTTGATGGCACGTCAGTTTCAACGGCGGAGATAGGCATGACTATGTCCGTTAATTTTTACAGTCTATGAATGTGACCAACACACAAATGCACACGCACACAAGCCAACACACAGTGCTTAATATTTTTATAATTGTACGGCTATTTGTGCTTGATCAATGATACATCCGATACTGTACTTAGCCACCTCAAGCATTGATTTACTTTTGTATCAGTCTATCCGGCTTTGGCCTGGTGCTGTCGCTGCTGAGTGCACAGAGGACCAGACTCTGTGGAGGGTGCTCAGACAGCTCCCTGGAGAGTGCGTGGAGGTCTGCGTGGGTGCACTGAGGCTGGAGCGTCTTCTTGACTGACAGCAGTGGCGGGCTTCAGGTCTGAGTTGGGGCACTCACACGTAGGAGTTTCACCTGACACGAACTGTGGGTCCCTACGCACTCGCCACGTCTTCAGCCTCAGAGACGGGAGCAGAGCTGTCTGTATTTCAGTTTGGGTAATTAGCTGCGATACTTACCCTTTAGAGCAGGAAATCAATGAATCTTTTTATATTAAGACGCTTTAGTCTCTCATTTCTAGACATTGGCAATTCCACCCTTCACCTTAATCTCATATTCTGAGACTACTAGAACTCCGAATTTTGACTGCTCCCATTCAAACCAATGTCATTCTGAGAAATCCCCCTCCCAAAAAATATTTTTTCACCATTTGTTTAAGTCCTTTTCCTACATTTTAGGAAAGAACCGCCTACTCCAATTATTGCACAAAACTCTCTGGCCTTATTTGACGAGTATAAGTATCACCAGAATGATTGACAATTGGGAGGACCAATAGTCTTGATGATCCATCCAGAAGTAGAAAAGGATCATATGTACCTTTACTCACTTTTAATTGGTGAAACTGGTGAATATAACAGCAAAAACAGATGTTGAAAGGCCAGAGGCTAACTGATGATAGTAAATACGGTGTAGCTCTGATCTGATAACCAGCACTCGCCCATTTCTGGCTCTGCTCACAATCAGAACTAGTCCGGAACCCGAACCAGTCCAGGAACGGTCTAGAACCAGCACCTTGAAAAATGGCCTTAGAATGATGAAATCGACTACATAACGACAGAAAAACAAGTTACGCTGAGTGTTGACAATTTCAAAACCAATATCTGTCAAATTGACTGCTCTGGGAGTTCTAATGTTATGAAATCCTTTTTTCACTGTTACCAGTGTAATATTTTCAGTTTTTAAGAGGCAGAGGAAATCAAATCATGCAGAGAAAAACTTTGACTCAAGGCTGTTGTGACATAAGACTAGCACAAGACTCATGCTTCCATTGTTTTATTTATTCAATATAATAAATAAATACACTGTTTTTCCCTGAAGCAAAAGGTCAGTTGATGACATGTGAAATACAAGACGTATGCAGTATTTGGATATGGAATATATAGACAGAGAAAACTGCAATACAATATTAATATTAACTAAACGCCAGAGGTTTTTTCCTAAAACACTTGATTTTGTCATCTTAGTTTCAAAAAAAGTGAGATACTAAGAAAGTGAGATAGTTAGAGATAGAGGTTTTTTCTGTAAAATAGAGAGATGTTATAGATAACCCAATAATTATGTCGGGATTAAATGTACCTATCTGTTGCATGTTATGATATCAAACAGCGTTGACCATCATGGATTTTAGAATTTTTATGAAATGTCTGTATGCTAAATGCTCAGGGCAATAGTAGAAAAGTGCAAATCATTACTGCTCCTGCTGTAGTAGCATGTAGTAGTAGTTACATACTGTTAAATATTTTTGTGGTACAAATGTGTTACTCCATATTTAATCAGAATTTATCCGACATCAGTTCAATTCAGTCCTTCACAAGTTTACGCACATCTGACATCAACATATTTGTGTCCCGACCTCTGCCCAGACCTGGAAAGAAAGGCTTGATGTAGCGACCAAACACCTGCCTAAAGCTGCGCTCTGCCATCAGCGCATGAAAAACATGCAATAAATAACAAGTGGAGGTGTGATGTGAGGAGGAGGGGGGCTGAGAACAGCTCTGAATACTCAAGGTCTGCACGCCCACTCCACACGACACTCTCTCCGACGCACAGGAACTTAACAAGGAAGAAAACAGCGCATTAGGAGCTTTAGATGATTCTGTTTGATCACATAAATATAGTGGTAAAAGAAAGAGCCAACGGACAGTGGTCATGTCAGATTTTACTTTTGAATGCGCTGGAAAACGGCAGTGAGTCCTAAGTAGTTCTGAAACAATTGTTGTTTTGTGATTGACATTTTTTTTTTTTTTTGTTTTTTTTACTTTTTCTACCTGAGATGTTTCTGCAGTAGGTGTTCATGGTTTTGCACTGGTCCAGAACGGAGCGGACAGGATTCATGGACCAAACTGAGCGCATCAGGCAAAAATCTACTGGAGGAATGCTAACTTTTGGAAAAATGCTAAGGAAGCATTCCGCATTTTACTTTGAACCAGAGCTTTTAACCAAGCTCTGCTGCTGTGACCTGAAAAACAGTTTTTACTATTGTTAGCTTTTTAGAATGATAAATTTGATGTCTATTTTTGCTACTACTGGACACTTGTATTTCTCCTATGAGGGTCAATAAAGTATAAAGTATCTATCTATTTACTTTAACAGACTCTGTTTCAAAATGACAAGATGGGGAGCAGAAAGATGGGTAAGTGGGAGTGAGCAGACACATGGGAAGGTCTTACAAACAATCGCAATGTCATTGGTCTAGTGGTGAGTGGGTGAGGAGCTCACAGTAGAGCCAGTGCTCCTCCATGTCGATGGGAGCCAGCTAAGAGGTGGTCCGGGGCACTAGGGTTTAATATTTTTCCCGAAAATGAGACGTATCAAATCCCGGGAAAAGACGACGCCTTTCCCGGGAAATCCCGGGAAATAGCTGTTGTTTGTAGTTGTTGTTTTTAGCCCAAGTAATGTATGATATCACTCAAATTTATAATCCAACAAAAGCTGCCATCTCCACTAGTGTTTCACCAAGCGACTTGCTAGCTTTTCTAAAGTAGCCATAGCGTTTTCAGACGTTTTGTTGATGGGCTTTCTTCAGGAATTTCACTATTATGAGATTCTAAATGTCTGCGTAATCCACTTGTCGACCAGTGACGTGCGTGTGGTTTGGAGGCACTGACTTCAGCCCAATCAGATGAACATATATCATATAAATCAACAGAACCTACAAAGCGGCTTATTCACAATTAGTTTGGCTACAGCAGAATCTTTCCCATGGCCCGCATTGTTTGCTCAAACAAAACGCAAACGTTCGTAAAAGGCATATTTCCAATTGTGTTATGGGTCTTACCTTTTTAATGAACAGCACAGACCACTTCAGTTCAGACCAGTTTCATGTTTAAGTCCAGATAATAGTTTGAGCGCAGATATGAAATCCCCCATCTGGAAATAAGCCCAAAGAGTTTTAAAGCGTAAAACAAAACGGGTGCCACCTCCATAAACTCCTGTGTTTTTGCTGCAGCCGGCTCTCGGGCGCATCCAATTTCTAAAATCGACCTTCTTACCCTTCTCCTCTCTTCCTTATCATTCCTATCGTCATTGGAAGCAGAACATTACCCTAAATGCATTTTATATGATCTTAAAATGTGTTATATGTATGTTAGCCAAACCTGTTGCTGCCCTTAGCAGATGGAAAAAAAGAAAGGAGCTTTCTGATAGAATTGGACGTAACCAAATTCTGGGCTCACATGTGCTCATTACAAGTCGTGGTTTAGCGCGATTAAGACCCATATTTGTTTCAAAAACACAATTTATGAGCCATCCTCTCAGCTGTAGACATGTTGATTGTAAATTAAATATGTTTGAACTTTGAACAACAATAAACGTGTTCTATAATAGGAGCGCACTGTATATATATTTTTACTTTCATTTCCTGTTTCCCGTCATAACATTTCCCGGGAATCGGGAAATAGTTTTGATCAGATTTCCCGGGAATCCCGTGTCCCGGGATTAAACCCTACTGGGCACCACCTTGGAGATGAGGTGTCCCTGGGGAAGACCCCATGACACAAATGACTGTGTTTCAGACCATGGCCTGAGAATGTCAAATTTAAAACATGCATCTTCAGAATCAGAATTATTTTATTGCCATGTGTGCAACAAGAAGTCACAAACTAAGAAATGGCTTTGGCTCTCGGTGCACTCAAAAAACGGACTCAGGCCACTCTTAAAACGAACACATTAAATATGAATTCCCTGGATAATACTAGGTTAAGTATAACCCAAACCTAAAAATAACTATGAACTGTAAAGTAAATTGTTTTTGTTTGTTAAATCAATCTTTGAAGTGACACATTTATATTTTATTTGCCTGAAGAATATACATTCATTTTGGCAACATCCAAAAAAGTGTATTCAATGTAATCTAAAATATTTGCATTGAATTAGCCCCTCTTAGGTGCAAACACATTAATAATTCATTTGCTTAAAGAAACAATATGATTTTGTTAATAATTAATAGTTACTTAATGTAACTTAAGTTCTACGAATAGGTGCGTAGTCCCTTAGGACTTCGCTAGTGGGATATCACTCGTGACCCCCAGGTCACGCGCCAGAGAGATCAAAATAATTTGCTCCAATCACCAGCCACCTTCCTCTATAAATGCCCCTGCACAAGGCCGTACCCCCTCTTGAACTCTGCCAAGCCGGGCTGGCCTGATGGGCTCGTAGCTAAGGGACTACGCACCTATTCGTAGAACTTAAGTTACATTAAGTAACTATTAATTCTACGTCATGGTGCTACGTCCCTTAGGACTTCGCTAGTGGGACACAACGCGGAGGCCGTAGGAAAATGTACTCCCAGCAGGCCAGCGAAGGTGATTGGAGCTCCGCCCGAGCAAGACCCTCACAACGTGAGAGGACTCAGGGCAGAAGAAACAAGCGTGTTACGGGGCCACTCCTACCAAGGATACCGCCACGTAACACAAGCCGTAGGTCATCCGTAGTCACAGGACGCCTCTCCCAAGAGCTCCTGACGTGGACTACCAGACCGACCACACACACAAAATGTACCGCACCTGTAGGATGCCTCTCCCAAGAGCTCCTGCACCAGGGCGGAAAATAGACCGAAGGCCCCCCTCAGGGGAGGGACCCAACGGTCTAACTCAGTCCGCTGCACTCAGCACGGAATGGGCCACCGACCGGTCCGACACATCCGAAAGATAAGACCGGACGAAAGAGGAGGACGACGCCCAAGAAGCCGCACGGCAAACGTCCTCGACCGACGCCCCCCTGAGAAGGGCCGTAGAGGCCGCCATCCCACGCGTGGAATGCGACCTGAAACCCACCGGGGGGGCCAGACCCTGCGTCTGATA